CTTTCTTGAAATTTGAATTCACAGTTATTCTGATTGAACTCACTACCAAGGGCGCCGGCAGAATAATATAAAAGGGGGTGCAACCCTCTAACAAACTACCATCCCCTCCCCCCGGAAAAAAATTTAAAATATTCTGCTATTACATTTTGTTTTGTTATTACATATACTTTCATCTGTTCATTTTTTCAAGATACATTTCTTCATTGTTAGCAAGATATTTAAAAAAAAGTACGAATTTCTTGTACTTGCAAATTTTGCCCAGAGGCGATCGCGCTGGCATAGCTACTGACTTTGAAACACAAATAACTACAAACAGTAGTTTCGTATACTAACGTGTTTGTGCACGCTTAACATTATTTATTGTGTTGATGAAGTTTTACAGTTGCGAGAAGTCAGCTTGTGTTATACACCTTTGTTAAACTGAATAACTAATAGAAAATATAATATTATTTACATTTTATTAAATGAAATTTAAAAATATAGCTTAGATATCTGCCAAGTTTGTGAATGCTCAGTGTGCATAAGAAAAGAATCAAAGATGACTCAGAATTCATTGAAAAAGTTAAAAACAGATTTGGACAGCAAACAAGACGATTACAATTCTTGTTTGATTAAACAATTTTTTAATTGTTATGTATCAATAATTACTTAATTATTTGTTTTTCCATAAAAATATGTTTAATAAAAAAATTTTATAACAAAATTTTTCTGTATCTCTTTAATTGTTTAAAAAAAAAGCCGGGGGGGTGCAAATGCACCCCCGTCTCCGGCGCCCTTGCTCATTACGCAACAGTCTTTGCAGAAATGTGCAACTCTTCGAATGCAATACGTTGAACAATATTACATCGTAATAAATCTTATAAAGAATTAAATTGTTCCCCCGGTCAAATGACCAGTTTTGGTAGAATAGGTAAACGACAAGTATTATAATTCAAAACAAACAAAATACAAAAAAAAAGAGATAATTAACTGTATATAGTTGTTATAAAAAGTCATGAGGTCAAATGTGCAAAAACTATAAGATAATAAGCGCATTTTCGATGCAAAAGTTCTTAAACGGTGATTTGACCGTTTTTAGTATGTTTAGTGTTAATACACACTGCATTGAAAGACTACATTGGTTTAAAAAAAAAACATGAACATAAAATGAAACTAGGTATGTTTCAAGCACCCAGAGACAGGTGCTCGTTCTTGCCAGATGTGAATGAGGAAGAAAAAAAATTGAAACTTAAAACAGAAAGTTGCCAACGAAAAATGGAAATTAAAGGTATAAAAGGAAAGTAGAAAAACCATGGTAGCTGAGAATTAAACAGAAACAAAAATTAAAGATGAAATAAAAAACTTGGAGAAAAAAAACGCTGTAGTCGAGAGTTGAAAATGAATTTCCACGCTCCATGGAAAGTTGGTGAGAAACTTACGATGTTTATCGCTTCCCTTATCAATTCTTTTGAAGAAAAGAAAAAAATGCAAAAAATCAACATATTTTTTTATTTTAATAATAAATTCAAGGAACTAAAACAAAACATAGCACACAAGTTTTAAATTGAAATTTTAGTTTATTTTCTGTGTAAAAAACATTTAATTTAAAATCAGTTTACTATCCCAAATTATCTCGGGCAAATGAACAACGTTAAGTGTTAGTCTTTGTATATGTTCACATCTTTATAATCTGAAAAATCAACTGCATTAATTTCACTATCACTCGCGAACGGAATTTTTTTACACTTTTTTTTCTATGTAAATTTCGCAACCATCATACGTATAATCACGCAAAACGCGTGAACAGTCCCACAATCCAACAGCAAAACGCTAAAACAAAATTTGGAAATGCTTCCAATTACATATTGTTTTTTATTCATTTTTTGTTTTGTTTCCGGCCCAATGATAGCGCGACAAAACAAACCGTATTGGCGAATTCTGCTATGACCGGGTTTACTCGGAATAATAAATATTGGCAATATATGCATACCCGAATTAACTCGGGATAATCAAGGAAGCGGTTAATAGTGATAGGATATGTAAATAACTTAAATTCAATTTCATTAAAAGGCCTGAAAACGAATTTCAAACCAAAAACGGGATAGGATATTAGGAATTTTTTTGTTAATTCCTAATACAGTAGGGAACCGATTATCCGGAACGATCGGGACCATCGCTATTCCGGATAACTGATTTTTCCGGTTTTCTGAATCGCTACAAAAAGCCGTTTTTTTAATTGTTAAACCCAACTAAAAAAAAAAATTTTTGGAAATAATCTTAAAAAGAAGAAAAAACGATGAAGTAATACACTAATGATTAGTTCCAAAATGATGGCTAGGTAAACATCTTTCAAAAAAGAAAGAAAAATCTTATAAGGAAAAAAAAAAATTTTTTTTAAAAATATGGCGGGAAAATTTATTGAATTTCATTCCGGTTTTTTGGTTTTCCGGTTTTCTGATTTCCGGATAACGAGTTCCGTACTGTATATAATATTTAAGATTTTTATTTTTGATGGAAAAAGACGATAATGAAGTTATCTGCAAAGTTATAAGAAAAAGAGGAACGTTTGAGTCTTCTGAGTTTATCAAAAGCTGAATCATTTATAGAAGGGTCAAATCCGCTGTTAGGAACAAAACAAGCAGAAGAAGTTGAGTAACGAATTTGAAAAAAAAAATTTAAAAAAAAGAAGAGTAAGACCAAACGAAATGGGCGCGAAAAACGGAAGTATGAAAAGCAGACATTTTCTGCCAGTTAGGGTGATTTCAATTAGCATGAGGGGATACCAGGGACTGTAAAAATGTTAACTATAAACAAAGGTCGCAAGATGATTAGGATGTTTAGTCACAAGTACATCAAAAAAAGTAGAGTAAAATTAATTTTTAGCGTCTATAGTAAATTTAAAATTGGAATTAACCGAGTCTTCTAAAATACAGCATTCAAAGCCAAATGGAAATCCTAGGACTCAGCCTCGAGACAAATATATACATAGCCATATTATTCGACGCATTATAAGATTCTAAGTAAAGTTATAATTATTAGGTGATACTATACAGCTCTATTGTTTTTACCCGGATGAAACCGGTTTGAATTTGTTTACTCTCCAGTATCAATTGGTTGACATTGTAATGCAATACGTTAAATATAAATAAAAATAGAAAATATATGAAATATCTCCTGAATAAAAACCCATTGCATGTATGTTTAAATATAAAAGTATTGCATATAAACTCGTGCGAAACATGTCATTATTAAAAAACTTAAGTGCGTCTAATGATTTGAGCTAATTATTATAATGTACCGATATAATGCTTGATATAATAAATATTCTATATTTATATAACATATCGTCCACTTCATCCAATTAAGGAATTTATATTATAAATCGTTGAATTTAAACAAGTGATACAAGAATGTAAACAGGTGCAAACCGGTTTCAGTCACATAAAAGCAATAAAGCTGCTTTCCATCACCTGATAATTAAGATTTTACGTAGATTCTTAGAGTGTGTCTAATAATTTGGTTTTAATATTATAATATTCTAATATAATGCTTGATATAATAAATATTCTATATTNGTGATTTCAATTAGCATGAGGGGATACCAGGGACTGTAAAAATGTTAACTATAAACAAAGGTCGCAAGATGATTAGGGTGTTTAGTCACAAGTACATCAAAAAAAGTAGAGTAAAATTAATTTAAGCGTCTATAGTAAATTTAAAATTGGAATTAACTGAGTCTTCTAAAATACAGCATTCAAAGCCAAGGGGAAATCCTAGGACTCAGCCTCGAGACAAATATATACATAGCCATATTATTCCACGCATTATAAGATTCCATATAAAATTAAAATTATCAGGTTGGTTGGTTCTAATGCCACTTGTCACACGTGCAAGCCTGCTTCGCGAAACCAAGCTAATTTAAGGCAGAGTGTGCGTTTCTTGTTTTTCAGTGGCGCCATCTATGGCCAAGAATTCGACTTCTGCCACACCATACGTCACACCCGTTTATAGGGCGGACCCATTCATACATCCATTCATTCATCCACAGATCGTAATTTTGACCTGAATCAGAGAACGATCGATCTCCAATCCAGTACCCCCAGAGGTATTGATTTGTTATGGGAACATGGAGGACTTTTGAGACTCGACAGATTTAACGTGCATCAGTCACTTTACTACGCGGGGAGTCTTCAGCCGGCGGGGTTCGAACCCACGAACTCTCGAACATGGACCCAGCGCCCTACCGACCAGGCTATACCGGCCCTAAATAACTATACAGCTGTATTGTTTATAATTATCAGGTTATACTATACAGCTCTATTGTTTTTACCCGGATGAAACCCATTTGAATTTGTTTACTCTCCAGTATCAATTGGTTGAAATTGTAATGCAATACGTTAAAAATAAATGCAAATAGAAAGTATATGAAAAATCTCCTGAATAAAAACCCATTACATGCATGTTTAAATATAAAGGTATTGCCTATAAACTCTCGCAAAACATGTCATTATTAAAAAACTTAATTGCGTCTAATGATCTGAGCTAACTAATATAATGCTTGATATAATAAATATTTTATATTTATATAATACATCGTCAAATTTATCCAATCGTCATATATATATAATATATCGTCTAATTTAACCAACGTCAAAAGGTGCAAACCGGTTTCAGTCACATAAAAACAATAAAGCTGTTTTCTATCACCTGATAATTAAGATTTTACATAAAATCTTATAGTGCGTCTAATAATTTGGTTTTAATGTTATAATATTCTAATATAATGCCTGATATAATAAATATTCCATATATTTATGTAATATATCGTCTAATTTATCCTATTGTCGAATTTATATTACATATCGTTCAATTTATTTAATTGATACACGAACGTAAACAGGTGCAAACCGTTTTCAGTCACTTAAAAACAATAACGCTGTGTAGAACAGGTGCAAACCGTTTTCAGTCACTTAAAAACAATAACGCTGTATAGTATCACCTGTTAATTAAGATTTTACAAAGAATCTTACAGTGCGTCTAATAAATTTGACAGGGACAGTACATGTAATAAAAACAATAACAGTTTCAAAAGTGTGTCAGCCTACATGAGTTTCATAATATTTTAAATTTGTGAAGTGATAAACACAGTAAAGAAGACACCACTGAGTAGATGAAATAGAAGTGATGAGGGGCTGACGATTTAATGTATGTGGGCGATGGTTTATCCTTCTTCAAAATTGATTTAACTTTGTCCAAAGATCCATTATTTGGTAGTGGATCAAGATGCAGAACACTGCACATCACATTATACAGGTCAGTCATATTTAATGCATCAGTCAACCGCCTTTCCTGAAAAGCTGAAAAATATATGAAATTATAAATTAAAATAAGTTATAAAGTTTTTAAAAAGAAGATATAGTTGTTGTAGTTCATTTACGTCGCATTAGAGTTGCGCAATGGGCTATTGGCGACCGTCTGGGAAACATCCCTGAGGATGATCCGATCCGAAGACATGCTCTCACAATCTTGATCCTCTGCAGAGGGGATGCCCCCCCCCCTTTCGGTAGCCCGACTGCCTGCACGCGAAGTCGAGCACTTTACGACAGAACAGTTTAACGAGGACGAATACCGCACACCCTTGGTCCCTACGCAGACTGATCCAAGTGGTCACCCACCCGCACACTGACCGCAGCCAGTGATGCTTGACTTCGGGATCTGCTAAGAACCGCGTCTTAACGGTCAGTCCACTGCGGGACTTAAAATTTTCAATTGCTCAATGTCTCAAAATTAAAAATGAAAGAGAATGACCTAAAACTGCAATAGTATATTACATTAAAAGTGAAGAAATGGATATTTTCGGTCATGCTTGTGTAGAATTTATGTTAAAAAATTATTAATCAATAAAATATTTAAAAGTTTAAGAGAATAATTAAAAATTAAAGCCGGTAAGCAAGATAAGGAAAAGATAATCTTGTCATTAGCTCACATGATTACATCCGTAAAAAAAAGAGTTCGTTCTAATATTGCATTAATATAGTCAAAGCACAATATTTTAATACAAAAGTTTGAGGAACACCAAAAAAATTAAAACTAAAATAGTTAAAAATGATTTAAAAATACTTCCAAGAATATTTAATGTACAGAAGCTGGTTTTTAAAAAATATCTGATGTTTTGATTTTATTGGCTTTTGGAAATATAAAGAAGATCCACGCTGTTTTTAAAGACAAAAGTCTTACTTTAAACTATTCATTAGTATTATTTCTTGATAGTTGTTTAACAAGTATTCGGAATTTCAACTTGATAGCGATGCATTACTAAAAGACATCAAAATGTTAACACGTTGTTTTTATCCAAACACGCTTTTCTACCTTCACTTTGTTGTATAGCTTAAAATAATCCACTAACGCTCTTCTTCAAAATGAGGTAACACCAACACTATATTAAGTTGCAAGTTAAGAAAAAATCATTATCCCAAAGGAGAGAGAGAGCAGAGTTTGCATTTAAGTACACGCCAAATGGCGCGAACGTTTATTAACGTCGCCAACTCTTGAAGCGACGTTGACGTTGTACAGCCTTCTTTTTGCTTGAGTGTGAAATGAAGAAAATTAAAGTTATTGAATAAAAGCTATTATTTTATTAATACGAAATGAATAAAAATTGTACCTAAAAATCCTAAGGAAATACACGCCTTTCTGTTCGTATTTAAAGAAATTGATGAAAGAATAATAAATATTGTTTCTTGCAGACGATTTTCTTCTTCAGCGAAACAAACATGAAGAAAAAAAATTCTTTATCTGGCATTTTACTTATTAAGAGCATGTCAAACCATTTTTAGTGGTCTAGTGGTTTAATCAGTTTGCAAAATGGAAGTTCGTTAAATAGTAGTCCGACCGTAGTTGCGACTTTATTTGTTTTCTTGTGAAGTTGTTTTTAGTTTTATTATTATACAGATTTTTTTTATAATGACATTTCATTTTCTTAATAACAAACTGATCACATAAGTAAAAATGACATATTTACCAGGACCAGTTGCCAAAAATATTGTTCTCATATCTTCCACTAGAGCAGGATCATAGCCATGAGTACCATGAAGTTTATCTTGGTGACCTTTTAGTGCTTTGTTGGGATCACTTAACTAAAAAGAAAAATGTTGGAAATAAAAATTATATTTTTTTTCCATGCAGATACGAGATTAGTTTTCATAAAAAGTAACAAACTTATTTCACAATTTTCTTTAACAAGATCAGTGGTCGGAAGAAGCGAAACTACTGTAGTCGCTGCTTTTTTCCGTAGTTCGTCGTGCAGTGCGCTACTTTTTAAAAGAAGTAACGTAGTGAGCAATACGATACAAAAAACAGTAGTTAGCAACGATTTCTGAGCAAACAATTAACCTTAGTTAAATAAAGAAACAAAGTTCAAACGCAAAAATTGTATCGAATCTGATTGGTGCAAATCCTTCATGGTCCCTTCAGCGTACACAATGAGAATGCCTCTGTCGCCAAGCGGAAAAATCGGTGCGAAATCGGTTAAATTGTTCATGAGAAATCGAATTTTAAATATGATTTTACGGGAACATTTACAAAAGTACGCCTTTGTGTTTGGTTTCGTTACCTAAAATATCGTCTGCATTAATTAATTAGCATATTTGCCGTCACCCCCTCAAACCATTAAGATTCAGTCCTAGAACGTGAAAATCCGATCATTAAATCGAAAGTTATTCAGCGTGGTTAATTTCTTTGTTTTTCGCTCTATACTTTATTTCTTGGTGGATATAAAAAAGTATTGATGAATTAAATCACGAATATTTGATAACTTCCTGGCATTTCTTAAATCACTGTCGCGAAAAGCATGGAGCTTGAAGGTTAAAAGAATAAAGTCGTAAAGAGTGCAATAGAATAAATAAAAAAAACTATGTCATGTAAACATGAATTAAAACTTCTTAATATCTCTTCATATTTAACCAAGTCAATTTTGTATTCAACATCATTTTGAATATTGGTGAACATTTAGTTCTCCATTTAAGTTTGTCTTCTGAAATTAGTGACTACGTTTGGAAAGTAGCTTGTAGTCGCTACATTTGAAAAAAAAAGTAGTTGTACTTAACTACAAAGAAAATGTAGTTTTTCCAACAATTGAACAAGATGTTTAAATATTAAAGAATAACATTACAGCTGAGAAAATAGAAAACAGTGATTAAATTTTCTAACAAAAAATATCATAGGAATAATTCTAATCTTCTTCTAAAAAACATGTTAATATTTTATGTTCTTTTTTAGAGCTTTTTGTATGTATATTTTGTTATAGTATAGTAAATTTTGTACAAAAAATGCCTAATATACTGTTTCTTAAAGAGAAATCAAATAAATTTCGAAAGTTTTATTATGAAAGTTTTTAGTTTTAAAATGAACTATTATAACTTATTGAGTTACTTAATAAAATATACAAAACAAAATGACTAATTTGAAGAAAAAAATGCTTTAAAAAAAATTTTTTTTTTCGAATAACTTTCGTAAAAAGTTAGGAATTTTTTAAAAAATTTTTTATTATAAAAACATCTGCATTTAAAAACGTGCCACTGGAGCTGAAGTAAATAAACATCTTTTAGTTTTCTCAATATTATAGAAAAAACATGCTAATTATAATAAAAAAATACTACATATTTTTTTTTAAATAATCAATTCATTTTAAAAAATTTATTATGAAAGTTTTACACTTTAAAATATACCTTTAGAGATTAAAAAGGAAATGGGAAAAAATAAACACTTGTTAATTTTCATAATGAAATACATTAAAGAAGAATAATTTTAAATAATTTTTCTCTTACTCCTTTAATTAAAAATCCCTCATTTGCCATCAAGACAATAGGTGTTGTCCGTTCATTTTCTTTGATTCGATATTTTTCTGGAATATTTTCTTTTTTGTATACTTCGACCCCATTCAAATTTGCTTGCTTCATTGCTTCGTAAAGCTATAACATTGAAAAAGAAAAGTTGGAATTAACCTTGATACAGTTTAAAAGTAGTTAAGTCATTTTTAATGCGATCGCATTCTCTTTACGAAAACAATCACCATATATGCTACTGTGAATGACCGAAATAGGTGGTTGTTGACTGCCACCGGTGAATGTTAACAATGATTATATATTAGGTCTACAGTTTGTCTATGTAAAGAAATCCCCCAACCATTTGTCTGGAGCAGTGGCGGTGACTATGGTAACGAGATTTAACTATTTCAAGTTAGGTCATCATTTAAGACAGGTTTCGGCTTGACTCGGCGAGAGATATTGTCTTGATAAACATTTATCTAACTTAGAATATTATAGCCAAATACATTTACCTTATCTAGAATATTATCTCCTCACTTATTTAATTTGCATACATTATTTCCATACGTATTTACTTTATCTAAAATATTATATAAATATGCTCAGTTACCATATTTGGTAAATTATCTCCATATAAATTTTCGCTCTCTGGTATATTATCTTCTTACATGCTCACTTTCTTTATTTTTTTCTCATCGAATTTATTTTACCTAAAATATTATTCCTATGCGTATATACTTCATTTATAATATTGTTTCCTTAGACATTTACATTACCTTGAATATTTTTTTCATAGACATTTACTTTATCAAGAATATCGCCTCCTTTTTATAAGAGATAATATGCATACATATAATTACTGACATCCATGGAGATTATTGATATAATTACCATTATCTACTAATATTTTATCCAGAATATTATCGCTTCACCTACTCATCATATATTGCAAATTATTGCCATAACTATTTACTTTATCTAGAAAATAATTTCTTAATAGAATTAATATAAATTAATTTAATACTAATTTAAAATTAGAGCTTCGTTTACAATTAGCAGCATAGCATGTTGTCATTATAAATATTTATCTCATGCAACATATTATCTTCATAGGTTTCCATCATTAATTATATCTCCATATAATCTGCCTAGAATTATATCTCCATATATACTTATCTTATCAATTACTCATATATACTTATCTTATTGTTATTTAATCCAATGTTATTTTCATAGATATTTATATTGTTATCCATCATATTATTTTCATAGATATTTATATTGTTATCCAGCATATTATTTTCATAGATATTTACCTTACCTAGTATATTATTTCCACTAGCATATTATTTCCATAGATATTTACTTTATCTTATCTAGCATATTATTTTCATAGACCTTATCTTATCTAGCATAATATTTTCATAGACCTTACCTTATCTAGCATAATATTTTCATAGATATTTAATTATCTTATCTAGCATAATATTTTCATAAATATTTACTTTATCTAATCTAGCATATTATTTTCATAGAGATTTACCTTATCTTATCTAGCATATTATTTCCATAGATATTTACCTTATCTTATCTAGCATATTATTTTCATAGATATTTACCTTATCCAGCATATTATCCTGTGGAATAATCATTGACATTGTTCCGAACGATACTTGATACTTTATGAAATCACTAAATTTATCAATATCAATGAATTTCACATTTGAAAGGTCATGCATTCCGTGATCTGAAACAACCATGAGATTCACCTATAAATAATGAGTAGATAATTTGAGAGGATACTTGACAATCAATATAAAAACATACATAAGACTTTTAGATGGAAGACTATGTGACCGCAAATTTAACAAAATATTTAAACTTATTATAGGTGTTCAGAAAGTGCTGACAATTCAGTTATGATTAGAACTGTCAAATGAAGGAGCTAAAATCATGGTAAATCCCAAGCTATAGAGTACTCTTTTCTCGTGTGATTCGGATTAAAAACTTCTTATAAATAACGGAACGGAACTGTAGACTGAAAGACCTTTAAATAACGGAACAGCACTGTCAACTAAAAAAGTTATAATTGACGGGATTGTCATTTGAAAGAGTTATAATTAACAGAACTGTGAAATGAAAGAGTTAAAAATCATGGTAAATTCCAAGCTATAAAGTATTCTTCACTTGTGTGATTAAAATTAATATTTTTTATAAATAACGGAACGTAACTGTAAACTGAAAGACCTTTAATTAACGGAGCAGCACTGTCAACTGAAAGAGTTATAATTGACAGAATTGTCAATTGGAAAAGTTATAATTACAGAGCTCTCAAATAAAAGAGTTAAAATGATGGTAAATCCCAAGCTATAGAATACTCTTTACTCATGTGATTTGGATTAAAGTTTTTTTTTATAAATAACGTAACGTAACTGTAAACAGAAAGATCTTTAATTAACGAAATGGCACTACCAAATGAAAGAGTTTAAATTACCAGAATTGTCAATTGAAAGAGTTATAATTAACAGAACTGTCAAATAAAATCGTGGTTAATCCCGATCTGTAGAATACTCTTCTCTCGTGTGATTTGGGTTAAATTTTTTTTAATAAATAACGGAACGGAACTGTGAACTTATAGAGCTTTAATTAACGGAAAAGCACTGTCAATTGAAAGAGTTTAAATTACCAGAATTGTCAATTGAAAGAGTTATAATTAACAGAACTGCCAAATAAAATCGTGATTAATCCCAAGCTATGAAATACTCTTTTCTCGTGTGATTTGGGTTAAATTTTTTAAAATAAATAACGGAACATAACTTTAAACTAATATAGCTTTAATTAACGGAACTGCACTGTCAATTGAAAGAGTTACGATGAACGGAATTATCAATTGAAGGAGTTATAATCAATAGAACTCTCAAATAAAAGAGTTAAAATCGCAGTAAAATCCAAGACACATAGTCTTCTCTCATAAGTTTTTGGTAAAAAAAAATTTATAAATAATGGAACATAACTGACAGGTGAAAGCGATATAATTTACGAAGCTGTCTTCCGAAACTGCATAATTTACGATCCATTCTTCTGCATCCTTATCTTATAAAACCTGATAGAACATTGTTCTTTGGAAATTTTATTTCCGGTCGCGGAAATAGTTTCGCTATACTTTTCAGACAAACAGGCATTTTGTTTTTTAAAATTTCCGGAAGGAACTAAGTTTAAGACATTAAGAACGTCAGAATCGAAGAGAATTACGAAAAAAAGAGAACTTCAAAATTATTTAAATGAGGTATGTATTTCACATAATATTTTCAAGAGTTATTTGATCGGCCCTTAGAACTAAATAGCCAATACCTTCAATATCAGGCTGTTCTTTGAAATAAAAGCGGCTTGAGACCAGTGCTTACCACATTACCACAATCATACCGTTGGTTACGTCATTGACTCGCAGGGCACGCTGCGGGTTTTTGCGAGAATATTTTAACTTGTAAGTATTAAGAGTAATCGTTGCGTACTCAAGTCAAAGTTTTTGATGATCCCTTAAATTTTTTTTGATGGTTTGTTGGTTTCACTGTGACAGTCCAATATCATTTGATGGTCACCATCATTCAACATTTCCCCTTATGCGTTCATGGTGTTTGATATACAAACAAACTTCCATCATTCCATGTTGGAAAGTGAATACTATGATGGTTTACCATCAGGAGAAGTTTGATTCTCGTGAGTCAACTGTCCATGTTATCCGTAATGGTTCATGATGGTTTTAACTGCACATTTTCATGATGGTTTATTGGGAATTCTTGTTAGTTCTCAAGAATATATCATAAAAAAAATTTTTTATGTTGGGTCATCATGAATCAGCTCGAACTCCTACATTGGGATGATGGTTGTTCGTGATTGTTCTATCATTTGATTTCTAGTATTGTATGGAAATTCGTGATGGTCCATAATAGTAGTACAACAATGCATTTACATTATGCTTTAATAGAAAGTTTTGTTGGTTCAGCAGGAATATACCATCAAAACTATATGGATTTTTTTTGTGTTTCCTTTATTAACTGTGATGGAAATTTTAGATGATCTATAATGGTTCAACAATGCATTTACATGATGGTTTAATAGAAAGTTTTGTTGGTTCAGCAGGAATATACCATCAAAAACATTTGGTTTTCTTTATGTTTCTTTTATAAACAATGATGGAAATTTCTGATGGTTCAACATGAACAAACCATCAAAACAAGTTTCTGTTCTTATGTTGGACCCTGAAAAATCAGTCCACATTCCTACATTAGGGGGATGGTTACCTATGTCGGTTACCATCAAAAATATAATGATTCATGATGGAATTATTAATTATAGCCATCAAGATTATGTTAGTCAATCAATGGAAAACCATCAAAAATTTTGCACTTAGGTATTACAATGTATGTAAGGAAGAAAATCAGGTATTGTAGGAGAAATAAATGAAAAGGAAGGGGGAAAATGCTCAGTGGCAAGGGACCCAAGTCAAAATTTTCAAAGGTTTTCCATTGATGGACCATAATCTTGATGGTAGCCATTAATAATGCCATCATGAACAATTATACTTTCTGATGGTAGCAAACATAAGTAACCATCATCCAATGTAGGAATTCGGACTGATTTACGATGGCTCAGCATAAGAAAACCAACTTGTTTTGATGGTTTGTTCATGTTGAACCATCCAAAATTTCCATCATAGTTTCTTCAAAATCAATAGTTGGAGTGATCATAAACCAATATCAGCCCATTGTGGGAACTGGGTCTGATTTATGATGGTCCAATATTTAAAAAAAATATTGTTTTGATGTTATATTCCTGAGAACAAACAAGAAATACCTTCAAACCATCATGAAAATATATAGTACGAACCATCATGGATTGTTGGTTCATGAGAATCAAATTTCTCTTGATTGTTAACCATCAAAGTATTAAAGTAGCATTTTCCATTATGAAAGGATGGAAGTATGTTGGCATATAAACACCATGAAAGCATAATGTAAAATGTTAGATGATGGTGTTGGATGATCACGTAATGCATTGAAACCAACATAAACCATAAAAAAATTTTGATGGGACCATCAAGACTTGGGGAGGCAGTCATAAAAAAGATACAACTGATGATTTGTTAATAAACAACTGATGATTTGTTAATAAAGTAAATCAAGTCTTCCGAATGTGTTCATTAAGATCATTAAGTTTAAAGGCCTGTTTAGACGATCCAATTTCTTGAACAGAGATTGATTGATATTGATGGAAACTTGTTTTGCTTTGAGCTTGGATCGTGTANTAAAATCGTGATTAATCCCAAGCTATGAAATACTCTTTTCTCGTGTGATTTGGGTTAAATTTTTTAAAATAAATAACGGAACATAACTTTAAACTAATATAGCTTTAATTAACGGAACTGCACTGTCAATTGAAAGAGTTACGATGAACGGAATTATCAATTGAAGGAGTTATAATCAATAGAACTCTCAAATAAAAGAGTTAAAATCGCAGTAAAATCCAAGACACATAGTCTTCTCTCATAAGTTTTTGGTAAAAAAAAATTTATAAATAATGGAACATAACTGACAGGTGAAAGCGATATAATTTACGAAGCTGTCTTCCGAAACTGCATAATTTACGATCCATTCTTCTACATCCTTATCTTATAAAACCTGATAGAACATTGTTCTTTGGAAATTTTATTTCCGGTCGCGGAAATAGTTTCGCTATACTTTTCAGACAAACAGGCATTTTGTTTTTTAAAATTTCCGGAAGGAACTAAGTTTAAGACATTAACACTAGATTGCCTAAGGAAGTCATTTTGACTGCTTTTAATTTCAATTAGAAAAACAATGATGTATACAATGACACAATTTCTTAGAATTTTGTGACTTTTTGAACAACATATAACTTTTTTATTGTTATTATTTACTAATAACTTGTTGCAGAACTGTAAATAATATAAAAAATTTTAAAAATTAATTTTAAACAAATTTATTGACGCATTCACTATCTAGTCATTTTGACTGCTTTTCGGCAATATAGGTATATACTAATTTTCCGTCTTTCTAGTGTTAAGAACGTCAGAATCGAAGAGAATTACGAAAAAGAGAACTTTAAAATTATTTAAATGAGGAATGAATTTCACATAATATTTTCAAGAGTTATATGATTGGCTCTTAGAACTAAATAGCCAATACCTTCAATATCAGGCTGTTCTTTGAAATAAAAGCGGCATGAGTGCAGTGCTTACCACATTACCGCAATCATACCGTTGGTTAAGTCATTGACTCGCAGGGCACGCTGCTGGTTTTTGCGAGAATATTTTACCTTGTATGTATTAAGGGTAATCATTGCGTACCCAAGTCCAAATTCCTGATGGTCCCTTAAAAAAATTTGGTGGTATATGTTGGTTTCACTTCTACTGTCCAATATCATTTGATGGCCACCATCATCCTACATTTTCTATGATGCGTTCATTGTGTTTGATATGACAACAAACTACCATCATTCCATGTTGTGAAATGAATACTATGATGGTTTACCATCAAGAGAAGTTTGATGCTCAATCCATGTTATCCGTGATGGTTCATGACGGTTTTAACTGCATATTTTCATGATGGTTTATTGGGAATTCTTGTTAGTTCTCAGGAATATACCATAAAAACAATTTTTATGTCGGACCATCATAAATCAACCCGAATTCCTACATTAGGATGATGGTTGTTTATCATCTTTCCATCATTTGATTTCTAGTATAGTACGGAAACTCTTGATGGTCCATAATGGTACAACAATGTAATTACATGATGGTTTAATAGAAAGTCTTGTTGGTTCAACAGGAATATACCATCAAAACTATTTGGTTTTATTTATGTTTCTTTTATAATATATGATGGAAATTTCGGATGGTTCAGTTTGAACAAACCATCAAAGCAAGTTGCTATTCTTATGTTGGACCCTCATATATCAATCCGAATTCCTACATTGGGGTGATGGTTACTTGTGTCGGTTATCATTAATAAATATAATGGTTCATGATGGAATTACTGATGATTACCATCAAGATTATGTTAGTCAATCAATGGAAAACCATCAAAAGTTTTGAACTTAGGTAATACAATGTATGTAAGGAAGAAAATCAGGTATTCTAGGAGAAATAAATAAAAAGGAAGGGAAAAAATGCTCAGTGGCAAGGGTCCCAAGTCAAAATTTTCGATGGTTTTCCATTGATGGACCATAATCTTGATGGTAGCCATTAATAATGCCATCATGAACCATTATATTTTTTGATGGTAGCAAACATAAGTAACCATCACCCCGATGTAGGCATTCGGACTGTTTACGAGGGTCCAACATAAGAATAGCAACTTGTTTTGTTGGTTTGTTCAAACTGAACCATCAGAAATTCCCATCATAGTTTCTTCGAAATCAAATGTTGGAGCGATCATGAACCACTATCTGCTAATTGTGGGAACTCTGTCTGATTTATGATGGTCCAATATAAAAAAACAACAAATTGTTTTGACGGTATATTCCTGAGAAAAAAACAAGAATTCTTAAACTATCATGAAAATGTATAGTTGGAACCATCATGGATTGTTGGTTCATGAGAATCAAACTTATCTTGATGGTTAACCATCAAAGTATTAGAGTCTCATTTTCCATTATGAAAGGATGGAAGTATGTTGGCATATAAACACCATGAAAGCATAATGTAAAATGTTGGATGATGGTGTTGGATGATCACGTAATGCATTGAAACCAACATAAACCATCAAAAAATTTTGATGGGACCATCAAGACTTGGGGAGACAGTCATAAAAAAGATACAACTGATGATTTGTTAATAAAGTAAAACAAGTCTTCCGAATGTGTTCATTAAGATCATTAAGTTAATGAAATTAAAATTACTTCGTCATCCAAACCAGCTTTTCTTAACTTCTTCATCATGGAATCTAGAATGCTGTCGATGTCATACAAAGCTTCTTTCATCTCCTTTGAATTTGGACCGTATTGATGACCTTTCAAAAAATATATATTAACAGAATTAAAGTCTCAATTGAAAAAATTGATTGCATTAAAACATAATGAGCTATATAGTCAAAATACCCATTAATTTTGGTTCAAGAACACGCCCACTCGGAAAATCGTTATTGGTGATTGGTGACTAGATATTTACGACTACAATCCGTGGCCAAATTATTAGACGCACTATAAGATTCTATGCAAAATCTTAATTATCACGTGATACTTTACAGCTTTATTGTTTTTACGCGACTGAAACCGGTTTGCACTTATTTACGTTCGTGTATCGATTGATTAAATTGGACGATATGTAATATAAATTCGACGATAGTATAAATTTGACGATATATTACATAAATATAGAATATTTATTATATCAGGTATTATATTAGTATATTATAATATTTAGACCCAATTATTAGACGCACTGTAGTTTTTAAATAATTACATGTTTTGCACGAGTTTATTGGCAATACTTTTATATTTAAACACACATGTAATGGGATTTTTTCATATACTTCCTATTTGTATTTATTTTTAACGTGTTGCTTTACAATGTTAACCAATTGATACACAAACGTGAACAATTATAAAATTCGTTTATCCAAAGATAATTCTTTACAAAATACAACTTACAGTAAGTAATTAATATTTTTCATAATTTTATTTATGACATTATTTAAACATTTTTAATTGTAAAGTATGCAATTTTTACATCATTTTAAACAATACATTTATACAAAGCAAAATACAAAACTTAAGCGAAACGGTCGAATAGTTCCTGAGAAAGTGAATTTTTAAAAATGCGACATTCGTAAAAGTTCGATTTCTCAGGAACTATTCGACCGATTTTGCCATGCAAAATTCCATTCTTTAAAATGACTTGAAAAAATTTACGTCTTATTATTCAAAGTTATTTCGACTGCAATTAAATAAAATATAATGAAAAAATATTTTTGTATGAATTTATCTTTGGATAAACGAATTTTATGATTGTAAGCGAAAATGTTTTAGTTCGCTTGAAAAATTCTTGAGATATAATGAAATGTGTAAAAAATAAAATTAATATTAAGGGAACCAAATTTTTCTCAGCTGTTAAGATTAAACTGCTTGAACCATATTTCCCAGATTGCGGCTACTTCCTAAATTTGTGGGGTCAAAATCTGAATCCGTCGGGGGAAAAAATGTATGTTTATGCAGGAAAAGTACGCTTTTGTGTCTGATTTTGTAACTTCGAATATCGTCTTCACTAATTAATTAGCATATGTACGGTCACCCCATCGAACCATTAAGATTGAATCCTAGAACTTGAAGATCCGATCATTAGATCAAAAGTTATTCGTTGTAGTCTGTTCTTTTTTTACGCACTGTGCATTTAATTGGTGACCTGGTGACCGCATTAGATGGCCCAGCCCAATTCATCTTTTGAATTTTGATATATTTGATAATGTTAGGTGCTTTATAAAGGCAGTAAAGTTCATGGCTGAATCTCCTTCTCCATTGTCCGTCAATCTGTTATCTAACCACCAAAAAAACTTTAAAGGATTTTTCTTCCAAATCCACATTCGTCTTTTGAGGTCATAGTCCACGATTCCAAGGTGAAGATATTATAAGTTTTTAATATAGTAATATCCTGATTCTAAGTCTGAGGACACTGTGATGCCACAATAGGCATTTCCTAGCTTATAACATTTCTTTTTTTTTATCTTAAATTTATTTTTTTAATCATTCATAAATAAATTTTAATTAAATTAAACCAATTATTTCACTTTTATGACATTTTATAAAAATCTAATAGAAATGTTTATATTATTTTCTTAACAGTCACTGTAGCTTCTAACTTTTCATTTCAAAACGAATGTAAAACTCGCTAATTCACTGTCGCAACTAAATTGGAAACAAAATCTATTTATAACCCTTTACTCCTTATTTTGTATCACAAAAATGTGCAGTTACGTAGTTATACTAATTCTCCCAGTCTTTTTGGCGTATAGCTTTCGCCAAATTATTTTCAAATTTAATATTACCTGTCTTGTTTTGTTCTTGGCTAAGTTATCTTTCCATAAATCTCCAACCATGGAACTTTTCCTGTACTCCTAACTGTCCGTTGGGGACAATTCAATTACTTTTAATTTTTAATTCTTGGCGTTGGAGCTAATTAACGGGTTTTTTTATGTTACAATAAGAATGATTCTCTTGATCCTTTTAAAAGACTTTCTTCTTTATTTTATAATTTTAGAATGTGGCCGTGTTCATTATAATAAGATTTACATAATAAATAAATTTTTCGTAACCGTTTTCATTTATTTTTCTAAAATAAATATCCCTCCTTTATAACAAAATAAGAATATATCTCACACGGCCAAAAATTATACTTAAATTCTACAAAGAAACTACATCCACTATACAGTAGAGAACTTTATTTTATAACCATCGTTAAACAGCAGACGTATAGGGTTTACGACTACTACTAATGTTCAACTCAGAAGCCTTGAAATTTTGAACCCGATTCAGATGACAAGGGAACTCCTGGATTAAATATTGGGTGGCAGTTTACCTTCAGGAGGGACTTTTTGATGGAACGAACCTACATTTTCGTAACATGGACAGGAAAACCTTGAAAACCTCCCACGGTTACCCGGACGGCAAGGGATCTCTAACCCATGATACGTCTACCAGTTAGGACATTTTTACGTCAGCACTGTGGTCGGTGCGAGCAGGGCGCGGAATTCAAATCGACCTGCCATCGCTTGGATTTGAACCCGGTTTCACCTCATTCAAAGGCGAAAGCTCTAGATTCTGCAAAATTCCTTATTGTGTTATCTCGTTATTTTATTTTATATTTTATAACCGTCGTTGAACAGTCGACTCAATTTTTTAAACAATTACGACTATTAGTGTTAAACTCCGCAGCCATGTAATTTTGAACCCAATTCAGAAGAAAAGGGAATTCCTGGATCAAATATTGGGTAACATTTAGCCTTCAGGAAGGACTTTTTGATGGAACGAGCCCGCATTTGGTTTACATGGAGTGGAAAACCACGAAAACCTCCCTGCAGCTTGCCTGACAGCAAGGTTTTTTAACCCATGATACGTCTACCTACGACTGAGGACAGTTTTACGTCACCATTGTGGTCGGTGTGAGCAGTGTGCGGAATTCGAATCTACCAGCCATCGCTAGGATTCGAACCCAGTTCACCTCATTGGAAGGCAAACGCTCTATCTAAATGTGATTTAACTGTCATTAATCTCTTTAATTGTGAACTGTTTGCATTGATATCAATAAAACTACCGAAAAGAACATTCTAATCAAAGAATCTATCTGAAATAACTATCTCACCTGCGTAATCCGTAGAGCCATAATACATTAGAACAAGCGATAATCGATCCTTAGGAAATCTTTTGGACGGTTTGAACATTTCGACAATATCATCAATCCTCTCCAAAAAATCTTCTTTTTCTTCTGGCGTTGAGGGACCGAAACGTTCTCTCTCGCATATTGCTGGATGGTAACCTCTGATCCTCGCTTCGCATCCGCCCCACCAATACATGGCAGATGTCAGTTGGTTCTTCTCGGCTGTGATCCAAATAGGTTCTGCCCCGTTCCACCAAATTGGATCCGTGGAATTTGGATCTGAATTCCCAAGGTAATAAGTATCCGTATCGTTATCGTAAAGATAGTTATCGACAAATCCATGGTTTTCTGGATAGAGACCTATAAGCAAACAAATAATTAATATTTCATTTTCTACTTGAGAAAGTCCATGGCAGTTTTTCTCTCTATAAGAATTCGAATTTTCCAAAACACAAGTGCCTTACCTAATGAGAGGACACTCACATTAATAATTTAATCTCTTAAAGACCACATCTAAGCCAAAAAACATACTTAGGTAGTTAGGTACTTTACTTACGTCACACTAGAGTTGCAAAATAGGCTATTGTCAACGGTCTGGGAAGCAACCCTGAGGGTGACCCGAAGACATGAAATCGCAATTTTGATCCTCTGGAGAGAGAATGGCTCCCCGGGTTTCGTAGCCCGAAGACCTGCGCGAGAAGTCGAGCACTTTACTGTACAACAGTTTAACGAGAACCGATACCGTGGACCCTCGGTCCTTACGCAGGCTGATCAAAGTGGTCATCTGCCCACTTACTGACCGCAGCCAGTGATGCTTGAGTTCGGTGTTCTACTTGGAACCGTGTCCTTACGATCAGTTTACTGCGGGACACATAGGGGAAGAAGGCTACCTTTCATAGACATAATGTAAACTAGTCCTCTAAGGTTACGTGTGGTCCTTATGTATAACGGGAAAAAACAATATTTGGGAGAACAACAGTTGAGGTTCTAGAAACGGGTTTGCACCCTCCTCTCCTCCTATCCAATACTGGAAATGGGGAAGGGTTGGGATGAAGAAGAAAAGTTTTGTCTTTACCATACATGCAGTTTGTCCAGCAACTGATTCAGAGGTCACGTACATTCTGACCGTCACTTTGCTTCTTATGCGCATGCGTTGGAACTTAATGTGTTGGAACAAATGACACTTTGCTATATCTGAGTATGTTGCTCACCCTATAAGTCGTTTTTCTTGTATAGCATACTACACCGAGCAGTTCCCCGTGTTAGTTTTGTAATCCAAGAGCTGGACTTTCTAGTTCTATATTCTTTGTCTATAAGCAATCGAGTGATTCTCCATTCACATACCATATATGAAACGAAACTTTCTGACTCTAGCTGCCCCAGATCACATGAATGTGATCTCAATTCGGCAATCTAGTATTAGTACGTACACGTATTTTTTGTTATACGTACATTTTTTTTTTTTCAGTTTACTTACGAATATGTATTCCAGTACTGATTTAAGCTTTGTTTATCTGAGCTCATTCATCAAATTTGAAAATAACATGAGGGAAGGGAGGGGGTAACGAAAAATACGCAAAGCGTAGTTACATATATACAATATATAAATGAATAAAACATTAAATATAACAAAGGAAATAAAAGCGTAAATAAATTCGCAGTCTAGATAAATAAAAAATAAAATACACGATGGAAAAAATAAAATATGTACATCTATACAGCGGAATTGATAAAACTTTCGAAGGGATGCTGAAGAGTGGATGCTACTCTTGAATCCCTGCATCACTCCCCCTTCCCCCCCCAAGGGCTTCTACGGTGCAGAGTGATGCAGTTCATCTTGAGTAAATTAAAAGAGTGCGATAATAAGTTAATTTAAGTATTTTTATAAGATACCGTCGATGACGAAGAAGGCGGTGGCGGGGCTGAATTCGGCGTTTACGTAAATTAAGCGGAAGTCGAAAATATTATTGAAATTACATTTTGAACATCTTGAAGCTTCTTTTTTAGAGAAGGATGTGCTGAGTCGTTGTAAATAATTATCTTAAGTGATCTGTTTTAAGATCTTTATACATCGTATTATTGCTAATATATCAGGGCGCACGTGTAATTTTTCGGAGAATTCTATTTTGATAAATGTTAAGTTTTTTAATTTGGGTCTTAGTTAACGTTCCCCGTGATGGGGAGGCATAGGTTAGAACAGGCCTAATGCACATGATGTAGATCAGTGGTTACCAACTGGCTGCCCGCAAAGCCTTTTTTGTGGCTAGCGAACTAAAATATATTAGTTGCCATTATTTTGTGGACTATTTTCGTAAAAAATCTACATGGGTTTAAAATACTTTTCTTTCGTTTAAAGAAACCTAATTTCTTCGTTTCTGTGAAATTTAACATACCAACGCAAAGTGGGCCAGAAGACCATGATCTTTGGCGAAAAGTCAAAAATTAAATTTCAACTAAAATATGTTTAGGCAGCTTTGATATCGCACAAATTAAGTATTCATAATCATTTCAAACATTATAATTTACTTTTTGGACCGACGAGAGAAAAATGTAGTAAAAAATATGTTTAAAAGATTTTTTTTAAATGTAACTTTTAAATTTATATTTCGGAAATATATATAGGATTTTCACCTTTCTGTTACATTTTTATCAGAGTAATTAGTCTGAAATTATAGTAAAATTTTTCAATTTGTTGGATTAGTTAATACTCTTGACAAACTTATAGTTTATATCTTATCATTTGACATTTTACAATGTTTGAATGACTTTCGAAACTTAGTTCCAAAAAGTTCCACGAGGTAATTAGCTAAACTTTTTTTTTTGTCTTCTTTGATGCTTCTTTTTTCGAAAAAACCTGCCCCATTTTGCTCGTATTGCAAAGGTGGATTAAATATACCGAAAAACCAAAATTATGTTTTTTTTCTTCATGTTTTCGCATTATTTTGTAATTAATTCGCGTTATTTTGTAATATTAATTCGGAAATATAATTTGCTTTTCATCTTTAATATAAAATTACGAAAATTATTATATTTTCATTGCTATATTTAATTATTTAAACGTACTATATTAAAGATTATAATTAAAAAATG